CACCAGTACTAGACTACCTTCCTCCGCGCTAAACTACCAAAGCATCTCCCAGGGATCGAACCATGGTCAGAGAGGTTACTGGATGAGAAGTCATCGACTTTAACCCTCGACCACGGAGGCGGTTATACAGATGAACAAATATAGTAAATATGTTCTAAATGGTGTAAAGTCTGGAATATGTTAAACATACTAGTCTTTATACTTGAAATACACTGAAATATATTTCTTAACAGACGGAGAATTGAAAATCGGGTCGTTCGAAACATCGGTTCCCTCAAACTTTAGGCTCGGTCCCCTGCGACCTCGAGCGATCGCAGTTTTACTGGAACCGTATTCAATTCACAAAGCATCCTATGAATGTTAATAAACTTGTGACTGTACTTTAGATAATATCTATTGTAAATATATTTTATCAATATCAAACATTAGGATCATTATATATTTGTTAAAGTTGAAAATATTTACCTCTATTTCGCCTCCAAACACAAATGTAAATCCCTTCTAATGTCTGCAATGACTTAAGTGTGACTGTGTATCAATGCAATGGAGCAAAACAATGCTATTTAAAGATAAGTGGTAACGGGTTAACTAGTTACGTAACTAGTTAACCTCTTAATTAACTAGTTAGTTCAGAGGTTAACTAGTTATGTAAATACGTAACTAGTTAACCTCTTAATTAACAAGTTAATTAATAGGTTAACTAGTTAGATATTTACGTAACTAGTTAACCTCTTAAATAACTAGTTAATTAAGAGGTTAACTAGTTAAGTATTTATGTAACTAGTTAACCTATTGACTAACTAGTTAATTAAAAGGTTAACTAGTTACGAAACTAGTTAACCTCTTAATATTAAGCTGATAATAAGAGATGGCAGTTGCAGGCACTAACATGCATTTATTTCCCGTTATGATATTTTATTTATTGAAAATATTAACTAGTTACGTAACTAGTTAACCTGATAACTAACCAGTTAATTAAGACTTAACTAATTAACCTCTTAATTAACTAGTTAGTTATCAGGTTATCTGATGGCAGAAATATGCCACCATAGTAATCAAATAAAATTTAAAAAAAACATCACACAACAAATTTTAAACCAACCTACAGCTAAAGTTTATAGTCATTATCTTCGCAAAATATGTGTTTTGATTTAATGCAAATGATAAGTACTTTTTAAAGGGCGGTAACTTTTTCAAGTTTGCTTTAACTAGAACCTTTCCTTCTGAATTGAGGCTGTATATTTTATAAAAATAATTTCCGAAACAAATGATAACTTCGCGTTGCATTGATTCCGTATTATTTGATAATGGGCCACTTAATTCTTACATTTCTGCAAATCTTGGTAAAAATAATACCATTATGATAAAATTGAAAATTAACACATTCCACAGCCACTTTCTTTCTGATGATACAAATATATGTTTTTTTTTTTCAAAAACATGACTTTATTATTCATAAGATAGATAAAAGAGATGACTTTGATTTTAGTATAGTAAATTGTCCTCATTTGGATGGAGACGTACCGCATGCAACATCTTATGTGGTTTATATATCTCAGTTAATTATATTCGCTAGGGCTTGTAGCAACGTAAAGGATTTTAACGAGCGAAATATTTTCATTACTGGTAAGCTACTCAAACAAGGCTACCGCTATTATAAATTACGTAAATATTTTACAAAATTTTACAATCGTAACTTTGATTTAATTTCAAAATTCAATAGTGATCTAAAACACTTTTGCGACAAGGGATTAGCCAGCCTGATTTTTACGGGGATGTTGTTTACAAACTTCGTAAGATCTTGGGTCATTGTAATTTTTCTGTTGTGTTTACTAAAATTATTAAACGTTTTATTAAAAGGGGTTATGACCCTACTATTTTAAAACATACCGCATGCTTGGTGTTCAACCCATTTACAGTTGGACACTATGCTTTCTTCTTTTAATTACATCTGACGGACCAAATGGGAGACTCTATGATCGACAGTTCTTAAAGACCTTTGGGACTGAATTGCCTTAATGTTTGTCTTCTGTCTTGCTTCGTTGGGCCCTTGTAGGTGATTTTCTTGTTGCTCTGTCTTCTTTTAAGACATCGAGTACTTTTGTTATGGTCATTGGGTTTACTTTTATATGCTTCTACATGATCATTTTGGTATTTTACTTATTTTACCTTTTGTAACCATAACAACTGTTAGAATATCACTTGGCGGGGATTCATTTTATTTGCATTGTCTTGTTTATAGGAACATGGCGGGGCTAAGAGCGAGGTTTGGTACACCATTAACCGGTTTAAACTTCCCAGCAGTATGTATGCTGCTGACCGTTCCAAGGCGGCGCCCCTCTGTGCTCCTCAGATGTATGTCTATGTTGTGTCACACTGTTTTGGTGACACTTGTGTCCCTTGTTGTTTTCTCGTCTACGGTAAGTATTTTCCCCTTTGCCCCTAGTTTTTATTTATTTTATTTATCCCCTCCTTTCCCCGGGTCTCCTGTCCCCTTCCCCTGTGCCTTTCGACTTTATGGGCATATTTTTCAATCATTTATTTGTTTTCGTTTAATTCCTTATCAGTAAATAATTATTTGTGGTTTTGGTGGTTGGGCTGTCCGTGTTCCTGTTTCTGTGCCGGCTCCTTGCCACTGGCTCTTGTTGCTCGCCGCCTTTCCTTGTTGATCGTGTTTATCATATTTTGGACTCAAACATATATCTCTTTATCGTTGAAACAATTTTGCACATGATTAGAGACTGTCTGCAGTTGCAAGTTTCAAATCTGACGTCGACAAAGTTTTAAATTGGAATGACAAATGTCTTAAAACAATCAACCCTTTCTAATAGGAAACTATGATCTTGAACGATCAGCCCATCTCTTCAGTAAATAGTTTTTTAATGATTGACCTTGACATGCACATATTAATTCTATCAAATAAACAGGAATCGACATCATGCAAACCTTAACTGTTAAACCAGTTACTAAGTCTTGGCCACGAGATAGCTATGTCGTGGCCACGATATAGCTATGTCGTGACCACGAGATAGTTAAGTCATGGCCACGAGATCCTTTGTCGTAGCCAATAGTTTATTAGTCGTGGCCACAATATAGTCGTGGCCACAAGTTACTGAGTCGCGGCCAAGATAAATAGGTCATGGCAACGCGATACTATGTCGTGCCCACGAATTTCTGAATCATGGCCACGAGATAGCTAAGTCGTGGCCGCGAGTTACTACTAAGTCGTGGCCGCGAGTTACTACTAAGTCGTGGCAACGAGATAGCTATGTCGTGGCCACGAGTTACTGTGCCGTGGACACGAGATAGCTATGTCGTTGCCACGATATAGCTAAGTCGTGGCCACGATATAGCTAAATCGTGGCCTTGGGATAATTAAGCAATCAGAATACACTATAATGATTTGTTTTAAACTTAACAATTTACTTTTACACGCAATATTAATCTTTGAAAATACTGAAGATATTCACTTTGAACTTGTCTTTAGGATTATATTTATAAGTCACTTTTCAAGGCCATTCAGACATAATTGATGACAAGAGCTCTTTGTTAGGACATTTTAGTGATCAAATTGGTCAGTTCTTACGTACTACGGCCTGTTAACCTTGTTTATTTGGAAAGGACATTGCCCATGGACAGTAGAAAGACTATATGATATAGTCCTTGTCTGTTAAATAATTTAGAAAGGATAAGCCATGCTTTATATAACCCAAAAAGATCATTGCGCCTGATCAGTAGATGACATCCAATAATTTTGAGGTCATTGGGTCAAAAATCAGGGTCACAGTGGCGCAAAATGTAAAATTATTGACCAATCAATAAGTTGCCTAAATGACACTTTTAGAGGCTGGTGAAGTAGAATTATCCTTGTACTATTGCACATGTCTATTTAATTAGGGAAATTCATATAAATGGTGTAATATGATTGGTTATTTATCTCCTGTTCACGACTTAGCTATCTCGTGGCCACGAGTTAGTAACTCGTGGTCACGAGATAAATAAAAACAAACACATGTCGCATTTGTACCACCTAGCGACTTTATTTTATTAAATTGGCGATTCGCTTAAATATTTAAAGGTTCATGTGACTTTTTCGAGCGTTTTCTGTTGTTGTTTTTTTCATGTGATTTTAAAACTTTCTTTCGAAAAAAATATGGCACAGAAAGGAATTCATATAGACACATTTGAAGGTCATTAACATGGAATTATTGTACTTAACATTTTTAAATGAAATGATAAGTCATCAGATATCGTTTAACCCACCGAATACTCTCTAACGAACTTTTTATTTATGTCCGTAGCCGAGGTGTAAGTTTGAATAGAAAGAATCTCGAAACCAGACGATTCATTATTATAAAAAATGCTAAACTTATTTACAACGTATTACGAACGAATAGTGTGCAAACAATTCAAAGTGAAGACGACCATATGCTTGACTTTCACCGAATAAAATAAAACAAATGTACGCCGTCAATATAACTTTCGAACGAGGGTTTACTTGTAGAAGGGAGTTCAATATAAATTATGTAAATACTAAATACTTACTTCATGTTATATCAATCTCTTTTGATAGGAAGGGTTGAATTCGTGAAGGTCCGAAGCGTGTTTGGGTAAAAAATATCTTAAATATATATGTATCCATTGATGATGCAATTCTGTCTAATTGATGTAATCAAATTAATTACTTTTTAGTATTAAATTTCACTTAAAGTTCATTTGGACCACTTACATTTTTTATAGTATCAATTTCCTCATTTTCCTAATGAAAAGAGAGTAAAACTTCATTTGTAAAAGTCAAACAATGATTGATTTGTAATTATTTCTTTCTTTACCCATTTGAATTAATTGGACAAATATAGTTATTACCTGAAATATTACTTATGTTTTTTTATTTTCAATAATTGTTTAGTACTGTATGTATTGCATTTCGCATATAATTGTTGATTTGCTCGTAAATTATGCACATCCTTATTTGGTTGAAATTGATTATTTTATTTAAGGTTGCGGTATTCCTGACGGTATTAGTGAACTGGTATGGAATAACTAGTTGGTATAGTTCAAAGGGAGTTGTACCTTTAGCCAATTCAACTGATGATTCTAGGGTCTTTGAAAGTGTTTTCATGAAAAGATATGCCACACTCAACGGACAAGTAACTGTGTCAAATACATCTATGCTAAGAAACAGCGATATGAGTAACATCATTACTGAAGCAAGACGTCTTGATATATTAAACACAATAAAGATGATGAATATCAATGTGGCACATGGTGGAGACTGTCATCATCACAGGTTTCTAGTGTATGAATGTGATTTCTCGAGATCATGTGGAGGGTTAGCAGATCGGCAAAGGGGCATAGTGTCTTCCTTTTTATTAGCCATGGCTACCTCGAGAGCATTTGTTATTAACGTTGACAAACCTTGCAGCATCGAAAATGCTCTTATTCCTCATTTTTACAACTGGTCTATGTGTCGCAACTATATTAAAACCGTCAGCAAAAATAACACTAAACATTTTGATTTTATTGATGGGAATCCTTTTTTCAAAAATATTCAAAATTTCGATTTTGAACGTGGATGGCCATGGGACATTATATTTTTAAAAATCAATTCAAATATTGTCAGTCATCTAGTTGCAAGGAGAGATTTAAGGGATCGACACACGTGGCTATCGACCAATACACGTCAAGAGACGTATTCCCTGATATTGAGTGCGCTTTTTAAACCAGCTCGAACTATTTTTGACTATTTAAATCATTTTAAAAAGCATTACGTTCGAGAAAAGTCTCTTGTTTGCAGTCATGTGCGAACAGGTGGGAATCCAACCATACCAAAGGATAACATTTTCAAATATAAACTGAACGAAACAGCTGTTTTTAATTTTTTTAAGCAATATGCTGACTCTAAATTATTTGTTTTGTATTTAGCATCCGATTCGAATTACATTCGAAATAAATTTCACAGCATGTTTGGCAATGCCATTAGGACAAATGGAACTGTTGTTCACATTGATAGATTAGGCGTCCTTAGAGGATTCAAACGACAAGCTTGTGACGGATTTAAATTTGCTGTCATAGAACAACTTATTCTTTCGAGTTGTGATACCTTGCTTATTACAAGAGGCGGCTTTGGGGCAAATGCTGCATACATGAGACACATTTCAAATAATCTTTATAGAATTGATATAAAATCTGGAAACATAAAACAAATTTTAAGCATCAATAAGTTATAGGTATTTAAAAGCTTAGGGACTTTTGTGGCATTTCATAAAAAAATCAAGAAGCTTTGAAAATTGCATGTGATTTACTAAATTTAAGTCTTAAAAATTCAACTGGCAAAACATATTGTATGCTTAATTTGATACTTAAGATAGACTCCAGCCAAACAATATATATATGGAAGTTTTATCAAGCATTTCGAACCCTTTGTTCCTGATTTCAATATGTCTATTTAGTGTTCAGGGGACCAGATAGGTGAGGATATGAGGTACGAATTATACTAATGAGTACTGGCATTTGAGTAAGTGACGTACTGTGAAACTGTCTGATTGTAACTTTTTTACATGGATATTTTTTTCATAAATTAGAGCAACTTTATAAAACACATTGTTGATGCAAAAGCGTTTCGTCATTAATTTCCTTAAAATCTCTTGAAGTTAAATACCAATATCACAAAATGTGCGAAAATACCGGTTAAAAGGCCGATAAGCAATTAAGTATTTTGTAAATAATAGCTGCCGGTTTCTTTTTGCCACGCCAGTTTTTGGCAAATTCAACCCCTATTTTTACGCGCTTTAAAAAAATGAAAACTATCTTAAATTGTCATATTTACTAAAAGGTTTAAAAGTTAATATGTTTTGTTTTTCTATCTTTAATACTTTTTTTGTAAAAATGCATTGAAAGTTTGCATTTGCCATGGCAAAGTGTGTTTTGCCATGGCATTTCGGCATTTTGCCATGGCAATTATTTTTTTTAAAACATCACAAAACATTCTAAAACTTATCCTATGACATGTTATTGGTGCTATTGTTATGTTTTTATTGCAATCTCTAATTTTTTTCATTTTGCCATGGCAATTACAAAAAAGTTTGCCATGGCAAAATATTATCAATAAAAAAAACAACATTTTTTCTTTGAATTTTTTTTTTAAATTATTAAATTGCTATCCAAAGGAAAATATAGTCAATTTTTGTAAAATGTTTTAGTGTCATTAAAAAATGGTCTGTGGAATGTTTTAATTTTCAATTTTATTCTGATGGTACTATATTTACCAGGATTGGCAGGAGTGTAAGAATTAAGTGGCCCATCATCAAATCATACGGAATTCAATCCTGCGCGAAATTATCATTTGTTTAGGATACTTACCTCAATTTAAGAAGGAAATGTCTTAGTTGAAGCGAAAATGGAAAAGTTACTGCCCCCTTA